AGAGCTTGTTTTCCCATACACTACAGTCTTCCAACCTATCTTAAGATGCTGTCATTGCATTCCTGTTAAAAGTGTTTTCCATTTGTTCTCTTAAATACTGTTATTTGGTATCATCCTGACTTTGCAAATATGGCAGCATTCCGGTGTTTACTTCTCGACTTAATTTGACACGTTCAGTCAAGAACAGTGTTGTTCAATCTATTGTATAACTGGAGCTAATCAAACGTTCAAGACGCTACTTCATTATATGCTAGTTACCATCTTTTCAATCATTTTCCGACCATTCGTGACAGTAGAATTGCAGTAATCAAAATTATCTTACATATGCAAAAGATATTCAAGCACGTGCCACACACGGCTGCCTGTGTTGGAATCTAATGGCATGGGAAACTCACTACTTATCTGGTTCAACGATTAAAATCAAAGAGTCAGAATGAGCCAACGATACTGTAGGCCAAAACGAATAACCAGGGGTCTCTACCAGGGAAGTGTGCTTAGACTGCTACTTTCTTGATTTAAATAAACAAAATTTGGGACCCCATCAAACACAAACGCTCATTTCTGTTTGCAGGTGACGTAAGATTGCCCTCCTCATCTTGACCAGGCCAAGTCCAAGTATGCCTACGAATCATACGTGAAGACCAATTCACATTGAATATATGTAGTGACGGTCTGCTAATGCAATCCTCTGCAAATAAATCTAAGACACTTGAGTACAGATACCGCTTCCCGGAAAGCGCTCATGTCGGTGACTTGATCCCAGCGTTTGATTCACTTTGGGATTAGGGACTTAGGTGTGGGTGGAATATATTCCGGCCTCTTCAGTTTCTATTAATACATAATCTGCCAAATCGTAAAAGCCACACAGCTATCTGGCTGCAGCAGCAGTACCTTTATTGCCTCAAGCCCGACTTGAACTACATAAAACGATTGCATAATCTACTGTGAAGTGTTGTACCATCTTTGCACTCAAATGCGAATATAATAGCTGACCTAGAAAACGTCCAAGGATCATTTGCTAAGCCGATTATGGGGCGTTACTCAACCCCGAGTTTCCGTGATCTTTGTCGTCATATCAGACTGGATCCCCTTCGGCTGGGACGATGGGAAAATAATATTGTTCTTCGGTGCTACATTTAAAATAAATAAACTTTCACAGAGAGCACTGCGCTTGAATCGTTGGAAGCCCCTTTCTGTCGCAATTATAATGGAGGATAGCTATTATCTTCACAGCCTGAAAATCATGAAATCAGATGAACCTATCGTTTAGGGAGATAACCCAAATCGTTGGGACAAACTACCTTCTTTGTCACGTGTAGGTGCAACTCACACCACTTTTCAAACAATTCTAAAAACCTTTCTTATGCTGTTAAATCTGTTACTGACATCTAGCTCCCAGAAATCTCCAGTTACTCGACAGAATCCGGTCTGAACACAATCTGAACCAACAGAAACCAACGATCAAATTATTCTTTCCGTTTCAATACTCAAACCATGAAAATTGCCTCTGTGACACTCACTCCTGTGCCTACAACAATGACTGCTTTGGGGCATTGTTACGCAGAAAGTTTTAAACAGTGCTATGAAAAATAGTAACAAATGAATGAGTTCTAAGCGGTCAGGTTGCTGATCTATAAGCAAAGTAATACGTCAAACCTGGCAAACAGAAGAAGTCAGGAAAATTCTTAGTTTGAAAATTTTCCTTTTATTTCAATCACGAAAGTTTTGCCACTACTTCCGTGAACAAATAATCGCCTCCACCTAGATATCGCATGCCGCTTTTCTGGAAATATGCAATTTCATTTGCAGGGATGGATCAAAAAGTTCTCCGCCCGACATAGAACGAAGTCAATTCTCCAAGTCATGTCTTAGTACTATTCAAACTAATCTCCCATAAGCTGAATGCACTTAAACCAGCGATTGTCAAACATTGCTATCCCACAGTGGAATATGGTCAAATACCCTGCCCCTAAAAACAGCTCCACAGCACTGATCAACTCCTCATCGTCAGTTAATCTGTGAAACTTTCGGGGAGATACTATTTCCGGGAAACAGATAAAAGGCTGACGTGCCAGATCTGGTGAATAAGTGGAGACAGTAATTCAATGCCATGTATGGCTGCTTCTGTCACGCCATTTGAGAAGTGTGAAAAGGTGCATTGTCAAGCAAAAGAAGCACTACTGCTGCGAGCTCTTCCTTCCTCATTTCTCTGACTGTTCGGTTCAGTCTTTTCAATACTGAAGTGTAATACTCGCCCGTGATGGTCTGACCCGCTAACAAGAGCTCAAACATAAGTATACATTCCCTGTTTCAGAAAACACAGGTCATCACGTTTCCCGCTGACGTCCCCTGCTGAAACTTACTTTGGGGCAGCGAATCACGGCGCTTCCACTCTTTATCGAAATCTTTGAATCTGGTTCAGAGTGATAAACCCAAATGCCATCCTGTGTAACAAATCTTCTGAAAAATTTATGAGATTTGTTTTGAATCGGGTCAAAATTTGCCCCGAATGTTTCAGCCTGTCCAATTTCTGATCAGGTGTCAACATTCTTGGCACCCAGCCTGCAGTCAACTTTCTCACCTATAAAACGTTACCTCCAGCAGCATGCACTGAGCCACGATTAATGTCTATACTCTAAACTATTGGAGAAACAAATAACCTTCTATCATTCATGATCATTCGGTGAATTGCTTCCACTTGATCATAACACGTCAAAGATTTTGGACGGCCAGATCGTGGCTTGTCTTCAGTGCTCTCCCTGACCGTTCTCATATTCGCATCACAATTTCTAACAGTGGAATAAGAATGGGAGTCCTCACCAAGTGTCTCAACTATAGCAGCATCTATTTCTTTCCGCGTAATGCTCTTTTCCTGCAGGTATCTGATCACAGCTCGATTTCCAAATGCGTCCATTTTTCAGACATTGAGCAATCAAGTTCAAGTTAATGGACCATCACCCGCAAGTAAATAAAAATAGAAATTTGAGATTTGGAAATGATACTTTCAGGATTTGATACTATTAACAAATAATCTTACTTTTCAACCAGTTTATTTACTACTTGAGCCGATCCATAACGTTTTGATTCATCCTTGTATTGAGTTAAGTTGTCGTCCCCCTTTAATATCTCCAGCGGCGTAAGACAATGATGCCCGCTGTCACCTTTCCTCTTCAACTTTGCTTTTGACGAAGACATGGAAATCGCGTTTACAGGACACGACTTTGAAGGTGTGGATCTGCTCCCAGGAGAACGACTTCTTGACTTAGAGTATGCTGATGATATTGCCCTAATCTGTGACAGCTCCCAGACGTGCCAAGCGGCGCTGGACAGGTTAGCACTGGCTATCCGTCACTTCGGACTTTGCTTTGCATCATCGAAGTGCAAAGTGTTCCTTTAAGATTGGCCTGGACCGCCTCCTTCGCTGACCGTTGGTGGGGATCAGCTAGAAGTCGTTCAAAAATTCAACTACCTGGGAAGTTGTATCAGCGCCCGTGGGATTGAAGATGAGATCACGAATCATATAGCAAAAGCTCGGGGCGCTTTTGCTAAGCTTCGCCACTTATGGCGCCGGCGCGACATCACTCTCGCCCTGAAGGGTAGAGTGTACAATGCAGCAGTACGTTCGACCCTACTGTACGGTTGTGAAACCTGGCCGCTTAAAGCAGCGGACCTGAAGAGGCTAGTTACGTTCGTGCCTTCGTAATTTAGCTCACATCTGGTGGGAACACCGCGTGAGCAATCAGCGTGTTCGACGCCTCATTTACGGCACAGGAAAAGGAACTGAACCGCTCAGCACTGTTATTTCACGCATCAGGCTCCGATGGCTCGGCCACGTGTTGCGCATGCCAGCTCACCGACTCTCGCGACGTGTGTTGTTTGCGCGCCGGAGGTGTGGATAGAAGAAGAGGAGGGGTTGCCTAGCGATGACTTGGTCGACAGGAATGAAGACCCTCACTTCTGAGCTGGCCTCGGTTGGAGCGTCTCGGTTCCCTGGTTGGGGTCCGAAAGACGATGAACATGTTTGGTTGGACATACTTGCTGATATGGCTAGGAGCCGACCTCAGTGGTGTTCGTGCAGTGAGTTTTTTGTCCCACCCCATCTCTCTTAGCCTCCCCTCCAACCACGATCTCATTATTTAGCATTGTATAATTTTGCATAGTAATTTTTTGATGCACAGCAGCTGGCTGGTAGGTTACCGGAACGATGCCCATCCGTTACCGGTACCTCAGCCAGCTTGCACCAGTTGCTTTCCCATGTATTGCGGCACAGTAGCTGAGGTGTTCCCCACCTCCAGCTAACGTGTAGTATGATGCTGATGATGTTGATGTATTTAGTTAACTTTAATGAACTTGAAGTATAATACCCGTTATCACGAGTGGGGCTTTCGTGTAGCAATACTTCATTTAGTTCGTCAGTCGGTGGACGTTTTTACCTCGGATGATTGGTTACACTTCATTCACATCGTGCGAGCTGTTTGACGTAGGTAAAAAATCACTCGAATTTGACCGACATGCTGAATGGTAGTAACGGTCTGTGCGGTCTCGGTGATGAGTGTATGTCTTCGCTACATTGCTTCTGACTCGGTCATAAATCCCCAAGCTCTAAAAAAGCTGTCTAACTTTGAACTAATTGACCATGAGAAAATTGCAAATTTGTAAATTATAAGGTTACCTGATAACATTGGTATCTCTTGTTCTACAGTGCCGGATGCAATCGTTGCCGAAGCAGTGAAAAGCAGGTTGACCCAATCCGATTGTTCTATGCGCGGTTGGGTTCTTCTCGGTTATCCACGAACAAAGCAACAAGCCGAACTACTGGACTCCGATGGTTTGTCTCCGAACCGTGTATTCTCGTTGGACATCCCACAGGTATGCGCGGCTGAGCGTCTCACTGGGAGGCGTGTGGACCCGGTGACAGGTCAACAATTCCACACTGCATCGAAACCCAGCGAGCTCGATTCTCCAGCTCGAATGCTACAAAATCCACAAGACCGTGAATGTGTCATCGGATCAAAGTTGGCCCAATACGCAGCACACCGGGAGGAGTTATTGGATCATTACGGCAACATGGTGATCCATGTGCATGCGGACTTGGACTACCACACGGTATTTGAGGAAATTGAAGCCGGGTTGGTGAATCCACTGCCGGTGGACTACCATGGACGTCAAGAAGCGTAGCGAATACGCTGATTACTTCGGACGTAACACATAGGGCCACCTCGAGGAGGGTTTGCTAGTTTATGTTTCATTTACCGAGAGCACACAAAATAAACCAGTTTGAACAGACTCACTGAGGTTTTACCATCTGTCTCCTGCACACGGTTACTGCATGAATTCTTACTCTCTTTTCAGTTTTCAGGTGTCCCAGAAGAATGAACAACCCACAGAAAGATCAGTCATTGCAACGCTACCTAAGCACCTTCCATATCTATAATGTGTTTGAGGTAAGTAAACTACGAACATGCTAAAGTCCTGTTGGTGGCGGGTTTGTGGACGTTTGGATTCTTGTATACTCTATTTCTAATCACTAGCATTAAGTTATTATCCCATAATTTATATCGGGATAACAACCAAGTACCGTTCAGAAATGACTAATTACCGTGGATGGTAATCGTGATACCCATGACGGTGTCGATGGGGATGGTGTTTGTAATGGGAAGCAAGGACGAAAGTAATTGGGCTTCGAATACCATCATAGTGTTTGGTATGTCCGGGCTGAAACTCAGGGTTCATCTTGATTCCGAGTGAGATACTGTTTCTCATTCCGAACTAGTCTGAGCACAAATAGCTAAATGATATGACAAAGGTTGTCAGTACGCCTTCGTAAGCTGTTTGTAAATATATCTGCTAACAACCAGGAGGCACATGACAAGGCCAAACAGACCTTTTGCTGACGAAAAAGGTAGCAGAACAATTAGAAACGTTGTGCAAGCAACTGGTTATGCAACGTGATCGATTAGGACAGCGGATACCGGAACATCACTTCTTCTATTGCCCGTCGTATAATGGTCGCAAAGTCGGCTCTTCAAGTACAAGTGATGATGCGGAAACAACAAATAAATGAAAATTACAATATGTTTGGTTGTCAACTCGCACCGGCACTTGCCGTTTTTTGTTTCCGTTAGTAATGACACCAGTAATATCATGAACTACCTCAGTCGACTAAGTTCAACAAACAACAGCGAATCCACCATGGTGCCCAATCGTCAATCAATCAGGGTGTCCGCGTAGGAAGACCACCATACTGATTACTTCCAATGACCATATTTGTAGAGTCCGGGTGGATTGACCCTCGAGTCCGGCTGCTGACCGTGATTGGTTACTCTCGCTACCAGCATGAGGGATTATTAGGAAATTAATCCCCATTACTCACTTTAATCTACAACAGGTATCCGAAACGATATTACCTTGTGAATCATCACTACTCCGAATGAATCGCACGGTGTTATGGGCACAGAAACAGTCCAGGTGATTATTTCGAATGCTTTAAACCCAATGGTTTAACATGCACTAGGTCCACGACTTTCCAAACGCTACAATTAGTTTTACAGCTAAACTGTATAGGCTCAAAACTGGCTGTAGCAACCGAAAAGTCGACGGATCACAATGTACTCTCTCTTTCCATCGGTTTGTCTGTGTAATATCCTAATTAACGTTAGTATTTTGTCGTACACGTAGGCGATCGGTGCGGATTACTAAACTGCTTGTTGCATTCAATTGCTTAGATTAAGCAACGCTTTTACTTGGGGCTGGTTTCGGTTGCAATGCGCGACCGTTCTGTGTGGTGTGCTCTTTTTTTCCCTAGCTAGCAGCATCAACAGTGTCACCTTTCATGGCTACGTCAATCCGGATTCTTTAACAGTGCAAATAAAGCTTCCTTGCAACTCGATCCACTTTTCGGAATCGCTGTCTGGTCTTCAGCAATAAACTTCCTGAAGGATGATAGCGTGATTCAACTGTGTAGGCTTGTGCTAAGTTTTATGTTTCACTGACTCTGGTGGTCCTAGTTGAATCAGAGAAAGCGAAGATACATCCAGAACTTGTCCAAATTGTTAAACTAATTTCACCGGGATTTTACTGATTAGGTCCAACAAATCTCAAGGCAGGTAGTCAATGCTTCGAGCTCAAGTTCTTCAAAAGCTATTCTTATACGACTGCGTGTAGTGCAACTCGTAACAGCTGAAAGCTAGTCACCGTTCCAATCAATATTAAGAACCTGAGTATCAGTGGAGGATATGTAGTGAGAGATCCCACATAGCTTTCAAGTTATGATTGTCTGATTCTGTCCTCCATGTCTCAGTGGTATAAGTTGTTGGCGGAATAATACCTGACTGATCAACGTAAACCCTGACGCAAACTGTCATGTTCGAGTTCGGAACACGTAAATGTTCATATATTTCGTGGTAACCTTTCCTCGTAAGTATTTCGTATAGAATACATCAATCGGCTGAATCGAACGCACACTTGATGTTCAGGAACACAGCTATCGTGGGTCTGCGGTATGCGTGGCACTGCTCTAGCACCTGACGCCGAGTGAATATATGGTCTATAAAGCCACGTCTTAGGAGGTATACCACTTGCTCTACAAAGGGAGCTGTCTCCCTGGTGCCGCCTTATCTTTACACTATAGCCAGATGTTTGTGACTATGTATTTTTGGCATGGTGTAGACGTCTTGACTCCGAATGTTTGCTTAGAGCAGCAAGGTATTCCGGTAAGTCTCCCTTCTCTCCCTCTTGTTAGTCTTTGTTCAGATACCTCAAGTAAAACGGCTGATGTACCGCTGTTGATAATGATGATGACGATGATGATTATGCTTATGATGATGATTATGACGACGAGGAGGAGAAGGTGAAGATGATGCAGGCCGGTAGCGGCCAGGCGTTTGGTTCCCTTTGACAGACCGGAGGAACCCGCGCCACTAACGAACCACACTAGCACAAAACCCTCACCTGGTGCTTTTCCTGCTAGAGGCTTATACTATTTGCTTATGAGATGCTGGGACGAACCAGTTAACTTGTAGCTAACATCCTCCGATTCATTGGTGCTTTTACCATAATCATAATTTATGTCTGAGTATTGAATTTGTTCATCCAAATGTTGGGTGGGCCCAGATTCATTCGAAATGTATCTTAAAACAGCGATGACGACAATAAGAACAACAAAAGTAAAGAAATTTTTGCAACGTCTGTCTAGGGCTACTTAATCAGGTAGTCAATTTCCCAAAATACCCAATTGCTGGTAACCCACAGTCACGAAGTCTCTCAGGAATCTGACATTATTGCGACTGGTTGGCAGAAAACTTTTCCTGAGCGCCTACTCGACAGTGCATTGTCCCTAAACCAAACGTATGTCAGTTCACGTAGCGGATGTGGGGGGTCGCAAGAGCAAACAATGCTGCCTGGTCCGGTGATTGCAAGCAGATGCTTCGATGAGCTCTTTCTGCACCAGCAAACATTAGCTTAGGTGTTTATGGAGGAAAGTAGCTTCCAGGCTAACATGCGTACCCCGCATAAACATATTCATAAGAGGTCAACATGCCGTCACCCTTGCCCGCTTGCCATACATGAGAAAACAGGTACAGAAGGCTAGAATCTGGTTACTTGCCATACTTTGAATACTCTCCTCTGAGTTTTAATGACAGTAATACCTAGCACATGGTCTGCACATTGTCCAGCGTTTGTGGCCACGAGCACTGGTTTAGGACTTTGAATTTATAAGTGGTAGCCCGATTTGTCTTCTTTAATTACCCCCTTGGATGCATTGGATGAGTTTCTATAATTAGTGCACTTGATCTTCGCGTGTATACAAATTATTTCTATCTATGTTCACAGGCGTTGCTTAGTGGGCTGTGTGTGATGGTACCAGAACCACCAGAACCATGGATTGCGGAAAAACTGCGCAGTTTGTATGATATTGGATTTATGGACCTAAACTGGTAAGATACTCTTAATCAGATGTTCATTCTCAATTTTGGTATGGATAACACAGTAATCTACTAACTCGTAAATTTATGTTGTAAAGGTTATTTGTAGCTGTAAGCGCGAAGAACAGTACAGCACATCGACTGGGTGCCAACCAGCTTGATGGCAGAATGTTACTGTTGCATCCAATGAAGATGCCCAATCTAAGGATTTCTGAGGATCAGCGATTGATACACCAGTTAATCGCATGTGTTCACGATCGATAATTCTACAATACCGTAACACATGGTGCATCTTATCTTATCCATCTGATAAGTACTCAGCGACAAGTCCTTGTGAATTACGCGCTCTAAATATCGGAGTATCTAGCCAGCTTAATGGAATTAAAAAATTGTGAACGTGTTGATCGGAGGAGTTCGAACGCTGCCATGTTTGGCATTGAGTTTGTACGGCGCATGACCATAACGTTGCATCCAATCTGTGGCATTGACTTCCCCATAGCAAATTCGTTAACACTGAAAGACGAAGGCGTAAGCCAGTCGTGCATTCATATTCTAAATGGGTCAGGATTGATACAAGGAACGGCGATGAACAAGCTTGACACTTCAGCATCTTTGGAAGAAGTTGACATGAGCACAGGGTCAAATGAAAATAAGAGAACTCTGTGCAATTCATAAACCAGAAGGAAAAAGCAACTGTAACGGCTTCCCCCAGGTTCACATATTCACTAGTCCTAGTCGGCAAACTTTAGGCTTTTGGCTGTAATTGATCCTTAGCGGTCGGTGTCCCAAGTGGTTGCCAGCGCCTGCTGGCTGGTGGGCTATTCTGAGACCACCGAGAAGCCATCACTCGTAACAACCGATCGCTTTAGCAATACTACCGATGCTTCGGCAGTCTACTTGTGACCTTGGAATCCGTTGTTCTTCCGACTTGCGCTTTGCTGAACAAGCTCAGTACCAAATAGCTCGGGCTAAACAATCCGTGGCTAACACATGCCACAAAATCCATACAATCCCAGCCAGATTGGAAGTAGTTAAAACTCACTCGTCGTATTCTCGAATACGGCAACTTTACCAATGGCAGCATGCGAAAGTTAGACAGAAAAGCTAGAAAATATTTACAGAGGTCATTCACCAAAGGTTTGCTCAGTAGCACATCTACTCTAAACTATCGCAAACGTTGTAAACAGCTTCACTTCGAGCATCTCTGGCTGCGACGTCTAAGGCAAAACTTGATGCTCCTCCACAATCTGTTGCGCCAGAAAACGTACTCTTACCTACATAACTTAGAGATAAAACACCACAGCCATCACATACTCGGTAATCAATTAGCTACGCTACGGATACCAATGGCTAGGACATCAACGCCGTCCACCTATTTTGTCATCAGATACTCCGTCCTGCGGAACAGCCTACCAACCGCAATCAGGACATGCAAAAACCCCACGCCATTCCACACCAAACTCTACAAATGCTTAGACCTAGAAGTGTTATCATCCATGTTCTCATCCGACAACTCACCTGATGAAGTATTCTAGGATTGTCCAAACAATATCAAAAGGGCAAAGAATTGGCATCAAGATGCACACATGCTAGAAATGCTAATTTCTGCACATTTCGATCTGTTCATAATTTAGGAATAGTTTCTCACACTTTCGAGAATTAACCTATAGATGAATACTACTACTAATGATAATGTTAACGTATATACTCGACTGCTCGCAGCCAACCTTTTATGCATGGGAGGTGCAATCGTTGATATTCAACTCACTGACCATAACTTGATAGGGAAATGTAACATCTTGGGCCGTAGTACGGCGCCTACAATTTCCTGCATTCTCGCCGTATTAATGTTAATATTTTGCTGGCAAATCCGGCTAAAATTCTGCTGCGAAAATTACCGTGGCGAAAACAACCTGGACCACCCACGGAAGACATTGGCGAAAGTAGGGCAGCCTGCCTGTAACTGAGTTCCCAAGATTGATTGCGACAACCGGTTCTATGCATAACGACAGATGATAATGAATCTTTCTTACAACTCAGCACACAAGTCATTGAATTTGTCCAAGATAAGAACACTAACAGAAGCGCAGTTACGAAGATATAACTATGGTATGGTACTCAATTTTAACACCATGTCTTCGTATAACTTGGCTAGTTAAGAAATAAGGGGGTAGATGATAGGAGGGGGCAGGGTTATGAAGCACATTGTGTTTGTTTGCAGATCTCAAGCACACATTAGGACGCTAGGTTACGCGTGGCGGAGCCACATTTAAAGAGTGAGGAGACCAGCAAGCTATCATTTCGCTTGTCCATCTTTTGGTAGGCATGAGATCCTCTAGCTTTGCTTGGTTGATCAAGAAGCGATTCCAATAGAAATACGTAAAGTAGGGTTCTGTTGAATCCCTTTCTTAATCACTGCGACTCCCTAACAATTTGTCCGTCTTTGTTTTGAGGTAAATAAGCCAGCGTGACGACGTCTACGTCTATATATACCCTGGTTTGGGTTACACATTCGATGTAAAGCTTCACTTGAATATTGAGCTATGTGAGTTAAAACTTACGACAGTCTGTGTCTCATTGCCTATCCTTGACATATTCCCAAACTGCGGAACCTTCCGTGTACAAGGTCTTTTTAGTTACAAAATGACTGCAATTTTGAATCCGAAAACTTGCAAATAAGTGAGCCCATGTGGCTTATTGGGTACATTTGTATACTCACAGTTTTGGTGACATCATAACTAGAGGGGCAACACCCACGCAATATTTCTGATTACTGTTTTATCACCCGGATCTTTTAACGCCACCAGAGTATTAGATGCAGCAAAGCGAAGATCATTAATTTGAAGTTGTTCTAAACGCCAAAGTTGGTAGCTTTCCTACTAAGTACTGCGATATCTTGAGAGAGAGAGAGAGAGGGACATCAGCCGTACGCCGCTACACAGTACCGACGCTTCCCTCCCGCGCAACCACCACCATTTGCAAATGGACTAAGGATACTGCGTGGATCCCCCTGTCCTTACGCAGGCTAGAACCCGCGCTTACATATTACCATGCATGCTTGTGATCACTAAGGTTACGGGCCGACACTATGATACCTTGCACCCGAACAAACTCAGATCTAACGGGATTTTAGCTCTTTGGCTTTATGTCATCGTTCTTGTGGTACAATGCTGCTCTACTTCGTGAATCTACAGCCATTGAACAACAAAGCGATTATTCGACAGGTCGAATACCTATGAATAATATGAATAACTGAAAACGACTACCATGCAGTAGCAGCTGTTCCCGTCAAACAGCTTCACGCTGTCGAGCGATGTGTAATACATAGCCGATTTAGGAGTTGTTATTGGCATGACCCCGTGCTAGCCTGAAAAGAGACCGCGAATCTTGGTGGTCTCATCGTGCGTCAGAGATGGAAGTGGCCGCTGCCCTTGGCAACCACCGTAAGTTATTCGGGAGGATACGGGAAACGGGCAGAAGGAGACCTGGTGTTAATGAAATTAAACATGACGAGAGTGGACGGCCTATCCACAATTTATCAAAACTTTTAGAGTGTTGGGCTAAGCATTTTCAAAAACAATTTAACCAACTAGAATTGTTCAATTCCTCACCGTCCAGTGATCGCTCAGCTCCGTGAGCTGTCCGTTTGGATCCACCCTCTCGCTCAGAAGTCGAACGTCAGATCGGACTGTCGAAGTTGAACAAAGCCGCGGGACCTGAGGATCTTCATCCAGCCCTCCTCAAATTCGGAGGCTCTACACTTGTTGATGCTTTAAATGAAGTACTAGTGAAACTGTGAGAGCAGGAGACTGTCCCAACTGACTGGAGCCGCTCCGTTATTGTTCCCATCTTCAAAGGAGGCTCGCGTTCGGAATGCGGCAAACATAGAGGAATCAGTCTGATCTCCATCGCCTCCAAATTACTCGCCTCTATAATTCTCCATATACTGACTGACGCTCGTGAAAGCCAGATTCGTGAGGAGCAAGCCGGGTTTCGTCGGGGTCGTGGTTGCATCGACTACATCTTCACCTTGCGTCAGTTGTTGGAGCACCGTCACACATATTGGCGGCCAACCGTAATCGTGTTCCTCCACGTCTAAGGTACCTTTGATTCGGTTGATCGATGTGCCCTTTGGAATGGTCTACTCAGAAAAGGTATGCCTCAGAATTATGTAATTATTATCCGAGCATTATACGCGCGTAGCAAGGGCGGAGTGAGGGCTTACGGCAAGCTGTCGCCACCGTTCAGTATCTCCAGCCGTGTGAGACAAGGATGCCTGTTGTCACCTTTCCTCTTCAACTACGCTTTTGAGGAAGTCATGGAGATTGCGTTTACAAGACATGACTTAGAAGGTGTGGAGCTACGCCCAGGAGAACCACTTCTTGATTTAGTGTATGCAGACGATATCACCCTCGTGTGTGACAGCTCCCAGACTTGCCAAGCGGCACTGGACAGATTAGCACTGGCTGTCAGCCGCTTCGGGCTTTGCTTTGCACCATCGAAATGCAAAGCGTTTCTCCAAGATTGGCAGTGATCGCCTTCTGCGCTGACCCTTGGTGGGGATCAGCTAGAAGTCGTTCAAAAATTCAACTATCTGGGAAGTTGTATCAGCGCCCTTGGGATCGAAGACGAGATCATGGACTGTATAGCGAAAGCTCGGAGTGCTTTTGCTAACCTTCGCCACCGATGGCGGCGGCGCGACATCACTCTCGCCCTGAAGGGTAGAGTGTACAATGCAGCGCTACGTTCGACCTTACAGTACGGTTGCGAAACCTGGCCCCTAAGATCGGCGGACCTGAAGAGGTTAGTTACGTTCGACCGTCGGTGTTTTCGCAGTTTGGCTCACATCTGGTGGGAGCACCGGGTGAGTAATCAGCGTGTTTGACGTCTTGTTTACGGCACAGAAAAAAAGAACTGGACCGCTCAGCACCGTCATTTCACGCACTAGGCTCCGATGGCTCGGCCACGTGTTACGCATGCCAACTCACCGACTTCTACGACGTGCGTTATTTGCTCACCGGAGATGTGGAAGGATAAAGAGAAGGGGTGGCCAAGCGATCATTTGGGTCCAGAGGAATGAAGGCACTCACTTCGGATCTGGTCGCGATTGGATCGCCGCGGCTCCCTGGTTGGGGTCCGAAAGACGATGAACACGTTTGGCTGGATACACTTGCTGACATGGCAAGGAGCCGACCTCAGTGACGTTCCTGCTGTGAGTTTCTTTGTCCCTCCCCATCCCTTTTAGCCTCCCCTCCACCTACGATCTCATTTCGTAGCGTAAAACATAATAATTTTTCTTTTCGCCTAGTAGGCAGCTGGTAGCTTACCGGAACCAAGCCTATCCGTTGCTGGTAGCTCAGCTGGCATTCAACTGTTGTAGTTATTTTCCTTTTTCTTTATGTATTGCGGCACAGTAGCTGAGGTGTTTCCCACCTCTAGCTGACGTGTATAACGAACGAAGGAGCGAACGCAGCGCCTACTGCAGGAAGATGAGACAGTGGGGTGACGGACACTATTATTACTCTTTTAAAGGTGTGAGGATACTGATTTGCTGGCAATCAATCGGGTGATCACTGTTGCAGCTTTTGGTCGTCGTAATCTGGAGCTAAGGCCAATGCCCTTCAATAAAAAGGAGGAAAATATGGTAAGAGTGCCCTCGCTCGCTGCGGACTACTGAATCGAGTAAATATGGAACGTGGTCAGCAGAAAAACAGCAGGGTTACTGTGTTGCACCCGTACCCCATAAAAATGGGACTGAAGTTTGGTCACTGAACACAGCTTATACAAGTAAACATTAAAAAGGGTTCTTTGATCTTCAGATTGAATGTGCGTGATTAATCTTCCTCCGCATGCACCACATCTTTAAAAGTCCTTTAGAAACTTTTGCTTGAATAAAGATTTTCTAGTGACTCCGAAATATTCACACTTTCGGTATTTTGTGACATCGGATTTTCTTGAACTTGGTACCTTCGCACTGACCATTTGTTTGTCGCATGTTAAATAGAAATCCCTTGCGCTTCCCCGGTAAGTATTACGCGACGATGCCATCTGTTGTCAGTTGTTCGCTCTTCACTTCGTAGCAACTCTTACCCTCCTCCTTACTCCTGTACTTCTCATCTCCAGCGATTAGTATCTGAGTAGCGTACCCAATGCTCCTGGACAAAGCTGGATTGGTCGCATTGCAATTTGGATCAAAGAATGCAGCAAAATTTACGCATTTAAATAGTTTTCCTAGTAGAGGACTTTTCCCATCATGCGTGTTAACAACTTGTACTCATGTAACGGTGAGAACAATCGGTTGTGCTAATCAACCAAGCAAAATCAGTGCCAATCCACTAACTCTCTAATGTTGTGTTTTTCCCTGTTCAACCACATCCTCTTCAACTCAAGGGACACGTTTATTGATCCAAGCATGCGTCCTGTTCATCCACTTGTCAATCAAGAAGTATTTCAAGCGTTATTCTGCTTCGGTAAATTTGGACATGTAAGTCCATGTGTATGTAACTGATGGCCACATATTTATGATACAAAAACACTCAGTCTCCACTGAACCACTGGTGAATTTGGCGTTATTCATCGAAAGCGTTACTTTTGTGATGGTACCGCAGTAGACAAACAACCATTTTGGGCTATTAGACAGCAAACTTTGTAAGCTCAACCATGCCGACGATATAGATGTACGTTGTAGCAATACCAGGGCATGATGTGTCACTGTGGACAAGCCGAGCCTGAACATCAGTCACTTTGGTCCATTATTTTGCTCTGAATGTATAAGTCTGTTATCCAGACTCGTCGAAGAAGTACACGTGAGCAAACTAGCTGGTCTCCTCGGAGACGATCAAGATGGCTGGCCAGTTTAGTACATGACATTCCACTAACACCACACTGGGAAAAGACAGAAGCCAACGGTGCCAGCGATGTTCTTAGAGTATGTGTGATAGATAGTATGGCCAACTAAATAGGGCATGCAGTCTGATTGTCTGTTAAGCACCACAGTTTGTGTGTAAACCCTGCCTACGTTGAATGAGGGTGGATGCAAGTCCTGATAGCAGTCTGGCGTAAGTCTGAGTACACTCATTGCGGGATTTGCGGTGCACCGTCGGCTGAATGATCCACCGGAGAATGCATCTTCGTCTACCAGAAGATAGTTTCACAAACATACGCACGCCAGTAAGCATGCAATACCGATGTGCGTCATTTGCTTATGGACCCCTATCATTCGCAGCCTCGTCGACCTTTTGAAGAGATAGCAAAACACTCTCATGCTGTTAGCACCGTTTCCCATTAGCGCCAACGTAGTGCACACTCTCATTGTACCATCGCATTTCATTCTGTCTTTGGGGTACATGATAGCTGTTTTGCGTTAAATAAACCAACACAGCGGCGGTTAACACGAGCCATTGCAAGCGTTTGGAGGAGCAATACCCAAATACTTCCATTCCCCGGATACGGTCCTTGATATCGGAATGACCGAAGTTTACCTCAAAGTGAACCGAGATCTCAATAGAGGTTGCGAGTCGCAACCCTTACCACACAGCGTGTTCACTATATGCAACTTTGTATAACATGTTTTCTTTTTACCGGTCGTTAAGACTAAAAGCAGAAGCCACCAGAGGGAAGAACTGTTTACATTATTAATCTTTACTAAGCGAGTAGATCCTTTGTGTGGTGGTACAAGCGGCTGCCTGCCTTTGGGCTTCCACGCACTGTGTTCTTAAATGACGTACACCCTTTTTCTGTAGTTTCACAGTGAAATGCCAGTGCTAATCTACTACTGACTTCTTTGCTGGATGTATGAGATTCGGTTTTGAAGTAAATTATAAATGAAAGAAGTTGGTTTATACGGGTGCATTTGAAGGGTCAGCTATATGGTGGCGTGTCATATCGTAAAGCGTAGAACGGTACAGAAGGAATCAGTGTTAAAAAGTTATTAAAAATAACATGTATTAAGACATTAGTTTTGTGTTTCCATAATATGCAGATTTATCATAACTTAGCAATACCTTTTTAAAGTATTGTATTGATCAGCTGTAGAATAGTTCAGAAAAGACAGTCTATTCAGAACCAGAAACCAACTAACGTGACCTCTTTAACTCACCGAAGACTATTTTAAGCAATGAGAATGTGGAGATAATGGGACGCACTTGGCAGCAGAACAATGGGACTTTGAAAAGTAGTAGAATTTCCCCGTTCCGATTCAGTTCACACTCGTGCTTTTCGGACCGAGTATCCTTAACATGAACTCCTAACCGGAGACTCTATAGCAGAGATACCATTGAAATTCTTTTGGCGATACGTAATATGGGCGGACCAAATCCCCGGGTTACTTCTTGTTTGTTTAGTTACGTGTTGCCGCGAAATGGACTGGCTACCTAGACGCTTCATCTAAATACATTCTGAACCTGTCAACATGACCTAATCTGCGGAGTGAACAACTATTTGCAACAGTTTTCGTCTCACTCACGACAACTAGTTCCGTGGACGTTGTTATCTCTGTGTTACTGAGGATAGAGTAGACGACCAAGGTGTCAATCCCCACTTGCCATGGTTTAAATGGGTTGTTTGCCTAGATACAATGAATATTTTATCTGCGCTGAACCACGTATAAAAGCACCAAAGTGAATACACATACCGAATTCTGTTTGAACCATCACAAACATCACAAAGTTGTGTACCAAGTTCTACGCTAAGACCGATTTCTAGTGCTGTGGGGGAATCAAGTGCAGAATGACTCCTGTTCTCCATTAGTTTGTAACTCACTTGATAGCGGTTCATTCGGTAAGCCACTTCCCGGTAAACTTCTTGTTCAGGTTCCTTAGCACAGTCTGTCGTAGTTCACAGCTTTGACCAGCTACATTTGATGCTCAATTCGAGATTGTCAGGGGGGCTGTATGCAATTGGTACTAGTTAGTTACAACGAAGTGAATCTGTTAGGAGGCATTTGTGGTTACCTAACCGACCGGAGTAAGTGGCAATGAGTTTTGTGTAAACCGATTGACTCTGTCCAGTTGGCAATCTAAGTATTCATAGTTAGTGAAAGTAGGCCATCGGCAGTGTTGCGTAGAAGCAGCAATAGAGTTAGAATAGCTTAAGCAGCATCTGTTGTTACGTTTACAGCTAACCCAGAGCAGGTTAGGTTGAAAAGCTCAGGAACCGCTCTCGACTTGTTTTGCTGGGTGCTGTCCTGAAAACTCGTAGAGATCCACTTTCTGATGTGAAGGAGTTCATGTGTTTTTGCTGTGCGAACGAACGCGCTCTCGTAGTAATGGATTCATGATAAGCTCCAATTTCTATTCCTGACACGTCATGGTATAGTGTCATCCTATCAGTAAATATTCCCACCGTTACATACGGCAAGTGCCCAAGCAGTGCGTAGAATTATATGTTATATTGCAAGGTCAGTGTCTACGTTGCGTATACAGTCAGATACGTTCGCAAGCGAGATGAAAAGTCACTACGGGTTGCGTGTGGCATACATACGCAAGTGTTTCTTCTACTTACTAATAACAGAATCTATAACTTCTCAACCGGGCCGAACGTCTTAATTTAGAACACTCAGACCGTGACAAGCAATGTTGTCAAGCCGATCCGTTTATATAATACTTTAAATGCTAAACAAGATTATCTTTTCATTTTTCTTAGGCAGAAGCTGTTGATGCGCAGGATCAAGTGAGTGGCCCGGAGGTAAACTGTTTCTTGCCACATTACACTCGATTTTGTGGTAACTGCACTTGATATACCAGTTGTACCGCAAAAGTTGGTCTTTCATAGACAAACAGTTCACACAGCAGAGACAAAATGACGAAAACCACAAACCGTTTGACCCATATTCCGCTGTGATATACATTGGGCTTCCACTTCCACTACTAACGGCCCTTTGTGAGTTTCTCCCTTTGGCTCAGTTAACATACCCTTAGAGAAATCCACTGTAACGCCATCGAATGTCAACCAGTCAGCCTAAGTTAGTTAACAGGCAGCCATACCTGCTACGCCAAATGAACCAATCCGTTAAGTTTGACTCCTACTTTCGCTATGGCTAGACCGTCGGTCCATCTGATTCCTGCGACAAAATAGACCAAAAGCTGAACAATAATGTACCTTTCTAACTAGGTTATATCATACAACGAACCGGATACAAGGAATGCACGTCCTAGAAGTCTATATCATTCTACGTAATGAACTAGCATGCAGTGCTGACGGGTCTTCCGATACCACATTACAGCATCCGTCACTGTGAAAATTTCTTCCCCTTTCCTGCCACCAATACTTGGTACCATAGGAGATAATCTTATTACTGCTTGGCCTACATTACTGAGTCCTGAAGAGCGAATGCTCTACCACTCGAAATTCCGGAGACACCATTTAAACGTCAAAGAAAGTATAGTGGATTGGTGTGTCAGCTTGTGCTGCTTAGTGAAATCAAATGCATAACCAAACGGCTTCTGACGGGATAAGTCTTCTTGTGAATTCGTTAGCTGCAACCTTCTGGAAAAGTGTATGGAGTGTATTTAACCTCAGTTATGGGAAGCTGGGAGTTTCGAAGCAACATGGAGTGGACGCATTTACAAGCACTTTGGTTAGATGGGAAAACTGTACCATGCAGCTTTTTATTGTCCATCTGAATAGCACCGGCATTCGTTGCCGATAGAGGGTCGGATCAATTGAACACAGGGAATCAGATTCTTGACTTGCGAGACAACGGACAGTTTCGGTGTTTGACTTATTTGTTGACGGAGTCAATATTATGCAATGGCACTGTTAGCCGAAAATCAAAAGCCCTCATACAACGATTGTGTGATTTATGCTTGCCGCATGAATGGGGGGGGGGAGATAAAATCGATAGGATTGGTCTGTGCCACGAAGAACTGTACACAGGGTTGGGGACATGTGACCAAGGATCTCTTTGCGCCTCCCTATCTCTCTTACCCACCATCTCCTCAGCCACGATTTCAGTCGCAAGGTGTACTATAAAAGAAAAATAAGCATACATTTGCTTTGGTGCTTTTTCATCCTTTTAAATTCCATCCAATTGAATTATAGGTGGATATATTGATAAAGGTATTTCTCACCTCTACCTAACGTATTGGCTGATGGTGATGACTGATCCAATGATTCCAAAAGTTCCTGCCTCTGAAACCCACATCCTTTTTTCAGCCAACTGCTGAGATGCTAGCCATTGCCTATCAGACATACAAACAGAACGCGCTGAAAAAATATTTCAAGTAAGTTATTCTTGATGTTTGGATCCTTAAACGATTCAGAGAAACTTTTCAATTTACCAGACGCAGAAAATAAGGGTGAAAACAAGAGTAGCCGGTTGGCACAAGTAGACTGGTCAGCGATAACCTCGGATGTACTCACGAGCAAATGGTTTTCGATGTAGATATTTAGAGGTATTGTGCAACTCAAAGAGTTCACTACATGCCAGGAAAAGCACTAGACGGCCGCTTCGTCCTGTTTGGACTCATCAGTATTGCACATCCATCGAATCCGTTAGGATCCAAAACCATGACTATTAGCCGTTTACACAGCTAGTCAGCAACTTATGACAGTAAGCCACGGAGGACAGCGGCGTACCGCCATAACTTGCAAGCTAACTGTGATATGGTGCGATTCATCTTCTACTACCATTCAAGTTAGGACCGTTGCAGAGGACAGGATCTGTGTGCGGGGCAATAAGACTGGACAATATGATTTCGAAGACTGATCGGAACTCTACCAATGAACTTGCTTCTTGAACCGATATTAAGCATTGAGCGAAGCTAGATTTGGATGACGTCATAGTCTAGACGTCCTAACATGATGCGCACTATAAATCGTAGGTTGCTTCGTGAGTGGCAGATTTTGGTCTCATTTGAGCATCTGTTCCAACATCGAAGCTTCTCACAGCATTGAGCTTGAGGTATGCATCTTGTTCTATACAGGTGCTCAATAACTGGCTTCGCGCGAATGAGACCGACAGTAGCGGCCGGCAATGTCTCTCTGCTAAGAAGTTCATTGTGTGTGTGAATCGATTAACGCGCTACCGAAAATGGTGATGGCTGTGATGCTCTTCAATATCGGCTGTGTTATCATCCCTTAGTTTCACTTATAAAGTCAACACAAATCTAGCAACTTTATTTATCGATTTAGTTATTCATCCATTCAACCGAACAATGAAACAATGGTGTGTTGTGGGTAAACAAAACAAGTGCTTAGCAAGTCCAATATGACGGACAGCAGGAGAAGCAAAAAATTGTAAAAAAGCAGCAATAAAATGAAAATCGTTTTAATGTACTCACTACAATGCGGATGGAAATTGGGTGCTGCCCACCCGAAAACACTGCGCAACCACGCGTTGCCCATCGTGACCCGGTAGCCAAAGGGTTAGAGGTTTCGGCTATTATTCCAATGGTCTCGGGATCGAGGCCTGCTGTCTCCACCTGATGAGATGAAATTACATCGAAACGCGTCGTGGTTGTGCAGTGTTTTCGCATGGGCAACACCCAATTTCCATCTACTTTGAATACGGTCCCAGTGATCGCAGTGACTAAGGTTCATTTCAATGTGAATCACAGTCTATTACATTGCGATTGCGTGTCGCAATCCAATCACACAACGTGTAGTCCAAACTTGACCTTCCAATTACTCACTACAGTTTTCACATAGCGGCAAACGTAAACCAGGTTACCTTGATTGGTTAGGTGATTGCTGGTTGTGAAACGTTCCTCCCATTATGGCGTCTGTTAATGCACAAAGGCTATATCTTGTAATGTGAGTGGGTTATGACAAAGTCAAGGATTTTTTAAACACCGATGAAAGGTGCGCGGAAACAAGGCAATTGACGAGGACGTTCAATGACTGGCAGATACGAAGACAGTAACATATTGGACGACATTCAGGCCGGCAGCATTGCGTGCCCAAACTGAACTAGTGGCCTCATAGATGCATGCTGTCGATACGTTGCATTAAGTGCCAACATACGTGGTTGGGGTTCTTCATAATCTGGTAGTTCATTATTGGATCACTCCGTATGCGCCGATACTGACCGTTGTACAATGGAACACTAGTTTTATAAGAAGAGTAGTAGGGAGAGTTGAATGTTATAGGAAGAAATTCATCACATCTAGGCTCACTCAGACAGCCGCCACACACCCGGAAAAGCACTGTACGCGCGTTTCATCCTTTCGGGAATCGTCAGCAGTACGCATTCCATCGGACCCTGGTAGGGCTCGAACCCGCAACTCGACTGTTGCCAGTCTGTGGTTGAGACCACTGAGCAGTAATCAGTACACAGACCAAACTGCTTATAATGCCATGAGTTAATTGGCGGCTTAAGTTTGGTAAGCTCGTCGCTTGGTGAGGGAGCTACCCTGTCCTCTGCACGGCAGTAACGTGTAAGTCAGTGGATAGTGAGCTGCGCTATATCACATCTAGTAACTTATTCACGATGGTCATTGCCGCCCCCCGTAGCTCAGTGGTCTCAACCACGGACTGGTAACAGTCGAGTTGCGGGTTCGAGCCCAACCAGGGCCCGATGGAATGCGCACTGCTGACGATTCCCGAAAGGATGAAACGCGCGTACAGTGCTTTTCCGGGCTTGTGGCGACTGTCTGAGTGAGCCTAGATGTGATGAATTTCTTCCTATAAGTTTTATAAGAGTAAAAAGCTAATACTTAACAGGTCCCGCAAAATGGTTATGGTGAAGCTTCGAAATATAAAAATACTTATTAGCAAAATTGGCTTTACCCCAGTGAACTCACAAAAGTATACGTAGTATATACTGTAAATCCAAAGTAAATCCATAGGAAATAACGGCAAATGGGATGTTGGTAAAATCGTGTCTCCTTCTGATGTACACATAGAAGTCAAAAACGTGGAACGAAAAATGTGATTTGACCTCCAACGAAATCGCTTATGGACACTTGTGTTTATCCATGGGTAATGGGTCATGTAAGATGGTACAGCGAAATAAGTGCACAGTCAACTCGGGGTTTGCACTCTGCCAGCTTGCAAGCACATGTGACAGATTCCGGTAGGGCATTCTACCTTCTGCAAACGCATACGGAAAAGAAATCCCGACAGCATTCCAAGCGGCTGTACTGCTCTACCAGTTTGAGATGGTGGCCTCTCAACTTTCTGTTGTGACTGAGCTCTAGTAAGTAGAGGCACCGTTGTTTGGGATCCTCAAAGTTTAGTAAGTCAAAGTGAGGTCCTCACGCAATCACGGATATTGTCCGCTGAAGACCCTGAGCACTTGTAGCCTGCGTTCATACGGTAAACTATACAGACCCTTGACATTCTTGGTTGCCTGGCGTTGGGGTATCTCCAAGGCGGTGAGATTTCTCCTCAGCCATGACTGCCAGACCTGTATTGTGTATTCCACATGTGGCCGTATTTATGAGCTTAGAAGTTGTGGAAACATCGCAAGGTGGAGTCGTCTGAATGCAAGCTGCAGGAAGCCCACATGTTGGATTCCCCTCCTAGATTCCGTTTCAGCCTGCTTCGAACATCCAAGGTCGACCTGGAACAAAACTCCCAGATGCTTCTTGGCAAAAGATGTTTGAAGCTCCTGGGTGCCGAGTTTGTAGAAGTGCACCAACTTGTGCCATAGGGTTATCAGCTTAAGTTGACATGGAACGTGAAACACTCCTTAGATATCTTTGGGAGTTCTTCGCTGGGGAGTCTAGAGCACTTCGAGAGCTTTCTCATGTTAGAGATGCTAGGCCTGGATTACGTATTTCCCAAGAATCTGCACGTATACGTTAAATACATGCGAGCAGACGGATCGAACCTCTGAAATGCCGTCCGCAGGATACCAGCTTGTTCTTTCGTAGTCTTTGACGCCTTCTCAGATTCTGTTAAGCAACCCAAATCAGTCTGAACTAATACTCCAAGGTCGCGCTCCTGTGTGACTGCTTGCAGTACGTGGTGTCCAAGCTTGTATATGATGTTCAGCTGGAGGATGTGTAACGCTTTTGTAACTGTTTACTATGAACTATAACGGCTAGCCCAGTGGTGAAGGTTGAGGTGGATGCCAAAACTTCTGCATCTGTTGTTTCCCCAAATTAAAACAAACTGTCTTATCGTTGTTCACCGCAAAGACCAGTCGGATGACGTGATCATGGTCGACAAAGGTGCGAATCACCTTGTCAGGTTAGTGGGAGTACCGCGATTCAAACGCGTTGGTCGAGTAAGTGAAGACCGCTTAATGTCCAACACACACACAAGCCACAATTCATAAAAAAAACTGCTCATTCAGTATGACGTTCAGTCCCTTGAAACGTTATGCTACACCTGCATCATAAAGTTTTAGTGAAAAATTCAAGCATTAGTTATGGTGGTTGTTCGATACCTGAAGGATCTATTAAACCCAACAACGAACGGATTTGTGTGGGTCTCCTAAAAAACACTCCGCGAGGCATTCCCGTGCAACCTCTTCGGGCAAATCCAGTACTAGATAGTTCGGACTAAACACAGTGTGACTACTCACTCCAACAAGATGCATACACATCCTATAAGTCGAACATTATAAACGCCGCGTTCTAGTCTTGTTGTATGAGGAACACTGAGGGAGCGACTCTACAAAGCCTTGAGAGGCCGTTTACCAAACTTACAGTAGGTAGACGTTCCACCCAAAAATATCGGCAGTGAAGACAGCAGCTTCCTCTGGAACCCATTTTGGCACGGTCGCTAAAGAGTAGCGTGGAGTCAAAGTAATGTTTCACCGAATAGCCTATTTCAGTTTGCTTTGGCTAAAATTGAAACGTAGTTCGATCCAAAGCCAAATAACGAAAAGTTTACCCTGATGATACTCAGGTAGTGGATAAGTGCGGGCTCTAATTTCCTTTTAATCAGATGTTTCTTCTTGGTGCATGAACTACTAATCACAATTAAGCCTTTTGATGGCATAGTAATATCTCCTAGTAAGATCGAAATTCTCCGCAACTTGAACAAGATTATGGTATTTTTCCCACTGAGAAAATCAACCAACTAAATGCCTCCAGATAGCCTGGGCACCAACTAGTGGATGAAATAGAAGACATTCGCTCCATTTATGCCAACCCGAGTAGTTGCAATGTCCTCGAGGTCCGCCATTGCTTTAAGGAAAACGCAATCCTGTAAGTTGATTTTCTGTTTTTGAAGTACCCACCGTGTGTCTTGGATTGCGACACGCAATCTCAATCGTGGCTTCGGTTGACTTTGAATTCAGCCTATGCCAATACATTCAATGAGACGGTCA